TACAAAAACTATTCCAAACTAGTGCATGTTTTGTTGGCCGACTTAGCCACTCAAAAGAAAAACTGTACATGGAGTGCACAGCATTCTAACTTACTTCTAATTTTTGCCGTTTTGCACAGATAAAAACATTTAAGCGCGTGTATATGATCACAAGTACGCCTGTTTGTAGATTCCGGCATAGAACTTCTTCAAATAAAACTAAACCATAAAAAATTGCTAATGAGCGCCGAGCAATTGCTGGCCACTTAGCCCATTGTGGCACGCATAAACAGCAAGCACTTGAGCAATTGCCAACTCGCATGCAACTTGTGGTGTGGAAAAAATTTTTTAAATTCAAATAATGAAGTAAAAGGAATATAAAATGGTTTTCTAAAATTAGAAAAATAAAATACTTCGTAAAGTGGGTTAGCCATGCACCATAATGCGTGTGCTGAAACGCGGTGTTACTCTTACATATACTCTTATGAATCTAATAACTTTTTTCAGCTTATTTTAAATATTCATTCTGGCCACACTTTTATTACATATCACATATACATATTTATATATTATTTGATACATACAATCATATATACTTATATACACATATACAGTTATGTATATTTTTATTTTTTGAACAATTTTTAATTTTCCTTTTCATCAACTTTGCGAAATTGTTTTGTTCAAAATGCTCCGGCGAAAATTTCCGCCACCGATTTGTAAGTAGCCGCTTTTGGCGTGCAACAGCATGCAGCAATTGTTGCAAACAATAAATGCTGTGGAGAAATGAAAAAAATCCTTGACAACATTCCTACGCTACACGCAAGAGCTGCCGGAAATTACGCTAAATTTATTAAGTGGGCGCAAAAATGTAATATAACGGCATGTTGTCACACGCCATATGTTGCAACATGCAAAAAAGTTGATATTCAAAATTAGAGAAAAATAAACATTTAATTTAAAATTGCGCTGAGTTAAACAAGTATGCCCAGCAAGGGCTTAGATTCATAGAAAGAGCTATAACAAGTAAATTGAGAAATTTTAGTGAATAGATTAATAATCATTTAATATAAATAAATTAACTTTGCGCAGTTATTTAAGATTATAGATATTTTACAAACTTCGGTAATTTGTTTCTCGACGCAATTCCAGACGTCCGCATCAAACTATTAGAGCAGCTTGATGGCCATGTTGAATCGTGGAGTAGAGGGATTTTTTTTCTGTAAATTTTGTCGTTTTACTTCTTACAAACTTCTTCAACAGTGAAGCTTTTTTCAACTGTTGAGCTCAATTCGCTTCAAACGCGATGTCAGAAGATGACCAGTTGACCGAAGGTTGGCTTTCATGTGAAGATCATCACGAAAAAGTCTTGATATTGATTTGAATTGGTTCGAACCATGCGATGACAAACTTTTCCCGGAATAGTAAGTTCATTGCGAAGCTCATAAATTTCGCTTGCGCTTCTTCCACACTTATGCAAAGTAATCTTTGCAAAACGGTTTTCTTTAGCTCCCCACTCCATTGTTAATGAGCGAAAGCAAACACTTAACGGATTATTATATGTATATGAAAATTATAGTAAAAAATAACGGCGCTTTTTTTCTGCAAATTTGTTTTCTTTTATGACATAACTTACTAAAATCGTTCGACTATTTCATGTAAAAGTTATCTCATGACAGTTATTTCTAGTTGTAAAAATATTCCGCTCTTTAAATTTTATCCAGAGAACACCATCTCTGCACACACAGAAGCATCAAAAAATATGAAGTTGCCTCTTACAAGCCGAATGCAATCGATATTTGTGTACATTGTTCGCAAGAGCGTAGAAATTCCTTTGGTAAAAAGGACCGAAATTCCTCTACAGCCACCGAAGTGTAACCAACTTTTATCAAAAATATTTGGAAAACTATGTACATCGTTACAATCCTATTTGAAAGACGTTTTGAGTAGTTTGGGAGCCGCTGGAAAATTACTCAATATCACACAGATTAAATGATTTAAGTACACCGATGTTGCTGCTGACAATTTTTAAATATTAAATTTTAGAATTCAATTGCTAGCCAGTATAATTGCACATATAAATATGAACTTTGCAAAAGTTTCATAATTCACCCTCATGATGGAAGGATATAGATCATCTTTGGATCATAGGGAATACTTCTGTACATCGGTGTTCCCTCAAGTTGTTTTTGAAAATGCTGTATTACAAAGTCTTTAATTTCCTATTGCCTAGAAAATGCAATAAATAGCTGGATACTGTCCAAGCAGAGTTTGATCAGAGTTTTCTCCAGCCAACTATTATTAAGACCCTCTTGATTTATCGAAATAGTCCGATATGGATATGGATGGAACAGATATTATTTTCAATTTTCTATTAGTTATAAACAAACAGTATTTATTACCAAAGTATTGAAAAATTACTCCCTACAGAGTTTGCTTTTTGGATCAATATTCCACGTGTCAACCTTCAGAAGGCTTTCGGAACACAGCAAGTGCTGAAAGTGAATTTATTGAGCACGGCTAAAAATTATACTGCCAGTACATCAAAATAACTAAAGTCTTGTATAAATATAGACTTCCAAAGATCTTCAGTTTAAATCCCTACCTGCCAAATAATAATTCGAAAGCTGATATACGATAGCAGAAATGGTTCACAGTAAGAAAAGTAGAAGCTATCACACAGCTCTGTAGCTTGAATAGTTTTACATTTTTTTAGTAAATTCTTTCTTTTCATACCAAAAAGTCTCTTTAATATTCTCTTCTCTATTGAATTACCAATTGAGGAGTGTCAATTCAATCCTGTAGTCGTTTCTAATACACAACACTAAGCATATCCAATCGCTTCTTACTTAAGCTAGATATACCAATACTGCAATAAAACTGCAACGTCTAACATTGCTTAATGCAAAATTGTAATTAAATTCAATTACATTCCACTTCCACGTCCATTTCCTGCGTGCGAATGGCACCGGATATGCGACATTCCCACAACTTGGACCAAAGTAATGAAAAGCGAACGAAACTTTTGCAATTTTCTGCAATAAGCGTAAAAGTTTTGCACGCGTCAACGGCATTTCCACGCATAAGAGCGCGCACAACGGATAACATAAATTTGCTTTAACGCGCTGACGACCCAAAGCCATTTGCCAGGCAAAAATTCATATCTATTGAACATACGCTTGTGCCGACCGCATAAATATATATTAGCGTTCAAATTATAATAGTGGCAGAGTAAAAGCTTCACGGGCAAATAGAAATGCGATTGCATTATTTCCACACAAACGTTATGCGCCTCGCCACAGCACACACCAACATAGTTACACATTGACACACTGACACTTCGGGGACACATAAATTGCGGTTAGCCGAAGACGTGTCATGGACGCCGTTATTCGTGCCACTATTGCCTTGGAGCAGTTGCGAAGCATGTGACAGCGTATGTTATCTAAATAGCGTTTGTGGTAACCTTTTCCAGCGCACAAATAAATATGTGTCACAAGGAGTTAGGCCAAGCCGCAAGTGTTCTACAGAAGGGACGGTATAGTTAAGTTTGTGCTTGCTAAGAAGTTGGTTTGTTGAAACTAACTTGGTAGCAGTTGTTTTACAATTAATTACTAATGAAATTATTAAATTAATTTATGAATAATTTTAAAACTGTAAAACTTTAAATGTTTCATTTGCTGCCAACAGGAAAAAAGTTCGATGTTCTTTTGTAAAGTATCGAAAAACTTTATCGTTTATTAAATGATTTTCTTCTATAAATTTTTATTAAGATTGAAATGTTTTTTGAAAATAAATATTTATAGTTTTTGTGCGATAATTTGTTGGTATCGTTTAATCGATAAATTGTGTGGGTTTCCAAATATATTACAATACAATAAAATTAATTCAGTTTTAGACTGTCCAGAAAGCTCCTTCAAATATTTAAATACTTTTATATATCAATTAATCGATTAACTTTTTATTCATAATTTCGGTTATTATCATTTATGATTAAATAAAAAGGCAAAGTAATTTACTAAGAATTAAAAATGGTCAAAAACTACTTTACAAATTTTATAGAAAATTTATTGAAAATATCGAATAATCGATTTCGATAAAAAAAATAATTGGCTTTAACAATCTATCGATAGTGATATAAATAGCCTACAGCCTTATTAGTTTGATTCCAAATCAAATCGATTTTAATGAACACAATTTACTGATTTTTAAGATATTCGCTAAAAACGTTGTTCTAACTCAATTAAAAAAGGTTTCATTCAGTAAATTGCCTACAATTTTATTAGTTTAATGCAAAATCAAAACGATTTCGATAAAAACAAATTATGGGTTTAACGATATATCGACATTATAAAAATTGCCTAAAACCTTATTAGTTTAGTTTCAGTTAAAATCGATTTCGATAAACACAATTTATCGACATTCTCTAACAAACGTTTTTCTAACTCAATTTAAAATCCTAAGTTTGATCGAATACTTTTTAAAATTTTCAGACAAGTCCAATGTTATTAACAGCGTTTCGTGGATTCAACAATAGCTCGGCGCAAAAACTATCGAGCAGTACGAAATAACAAGTGATGATTTATATTTCAGTCAAGCGGCTTTTAAAATTAAATTTCTTCTGAGTATCGTTCATAATTTATCGATATCACTTGCCTGAAAATATAATTATCTTCTTTCAAAATATCGATGCATTACGAGTATAACTCATTTTTTAAACACAGAAACTCGTTGCTTTTTTATTACAAAAGTTATTGATAATTCATTCGATTACAAATTATGGGAACTTTATTTTTCCATTGCAAGATACAAATTATTGTAAATCTTTTTTTTTATGTCATTATTTATTAATATCACTTACTTAATGGTAAAACTATCGATAATTCCACTTTGATATTCAAAATCACTTACGTCACTCGTAATAATATTATAAATTATCGACAAATTTTGTTTTATCGATTTAAATATATAAATGCTGCAAATTAGTAATTTTGTACGCCTATTATTTTATCTTCTTTTAGCTGCACGATGATTTAGACAAGGATCCCGATTATTCCGGTTCCGGTTTTGGTCCAGATGACGAAGACTCATCCACCGATTTACAGCCATCGCATCGCGGAAACAATATACACACACAATCGGGTAAACATAATACAGTTTTGACCACCGACGACAACGACGATCTCATTTCGAGTAGAACTCATCATCAAACGAATAGTGGCACAATTATTGGCAGTAATAGCGGCAGCAATTCAGGCATCATCGGTGGCAATAGTGGTAGCAACACTGGCCTCAATACAATTGGTAAAAATCATAGAGCATTTTCATATTCAACGTCTTTTATCAAGCCATATATAAATCAATATCATTCACTATCGTCTTTATTTATCATCCATTCATTCTATCGTATATTTTCTATGCGCTCACGCAAATTATCTTTCATATTCACTGTCATACTCTCTCACTCACTCACTCTCCATACAATTCACTATCAAAATTTCACCTACACACTCTTCCCACTTACACGCTTTTGATTTTGAAATTTTTTTAACAAATGTTTCGTTAATGAGCGACAATACTTTCGGGATAAAAAAAAAAAAAACTGCACCAACTTTCCTTCTACTGAATATCGAAATTTTATTGAAACTTATCGAAATTCCTCACATACATATGCACACTTTTAAAGACATTAATGCAATCAAATCAATATCATTGCCATCGTTCATATCAACAGCCACCACGACGAAACAAGCGTCACCATCCATCACCACAAATCAAAATACACCCACTCTCACCCACATCACCACCACCACAAGCTCTGCGACGGCGGGCAAAAATCGCGGCTCATCCCTATACCCCAACCAAGTCCCACAAACCCATTTACCTGCAGCTCCTCACTACCCTGCAGGTGGCTCTGTGCACACAGACGACGAAGACTTCGATCTCGGTGAAGGTGATGACGACGGCGCTGGCAGTGGTGATGGTGATGACGATGACGATGATCACACGGGCGATGTGGATGACGGTGATGAGCATGAGGGTCTCATCGAACGTCCACATCAACCGAAATACGATTTCGGTGTGGGCAAAGAGCCAACCACCACGATAGAGAATGGGACCAGCACAAGCAGTACCACTGCATCGTCCACCACTACCAGCACTGGCAGCGTCAGCAGCAGCGATAGCAATGATCGCAAGAAGATCTTGAGCTCGCATGGCCACGACGACGAGCATGATGTAGACGCTGATGAAGAGGATGAATTCGATGACACCTACGATGAGGACAACAAGGACGATGACGAGGATGATGAGGATGATCGCCTGCATGAAGAGGATGACAATACTGAAGTGTATATTGATGGCACGGAGCCGAATGCCAAGAGCGGCAGTGACGACCAGGACAATGAACGTCAGTGGCTTTTCTTTGTTTTCCAAATATTTTTGCTTTTACCTATTTTTAATTGTTATTGGTTTAGTGCATTTTACTTAAAATTTGCTTAAGCGTTTTAAATTATTAGTAATGCTTTTATTTGTTGGTTTTGTTTTGGTTATCTCTTAGTTTTGTTTTATAATTTTGCTGTGCGCTTTATGTGATATGTGTTTGCTCGTTTTTTTTGTGTCCTTTTTCATTTTCTTTGTTTTGTTTTGTTAGTGACGCTAATGCAGCGTTCAGTTTGATTATTACATTGTCAATTACTTAATTATTTGTTCTTGAAGTAATTTAGTTTCTGTTTATCACTTTTGTGCACATTTAAGCATTTTGACCATGCTGTGGCGCATGCTAAAGTTTTTCGTTTTTCATTTAGTTAAAATCATTATTTGTTAAATTGTTGATATATTTTTTATATTTAATATTTATTCATAAGTCTAAGGATAGCCTTCCGGGAACAGAATAAGCGAAAAACTGATTACAGATGCCGTCAAATATTTTCGGAGGGTGTTTTTTTACTTTTTTTTTGATAGACTTTGATAGAAGAAATCTGAAATTTGGAAAAGATGTAATATGTAACCGCCTTCAAATGTTACTTAGGAATTTTTTTCAGGGATGTCGCGTGTCAGTCTTTATTTACTCAGTATGTTCACCAATCCTGCTCATTATGCCTACACGCTTACTACCGATGAGCTACAAGTATCCCAAACGACTAACTTTTAAGAAAAAAATTAAAATATATATATATATATATTATAAAACTTTAAGAAAAAAAAACTTCAAATCCCTAATGGCTCAAAAATACAAATAATTAAACACCCAAAAGCTATACTTACAAAAAGTAAACAACCTCCTATAGGTATGCTAACAATTTCTTAACAAATTCATGTAACTTCAAACCAGTTTCTTACCAAAAAATCTTGTTTCGATGCCTTCTTGATTTAAAATCATATCAAATAACTCTCTTTATTATTCGAAGTCAAAACAAAGACAAAATATAAAAACCATTTGAAGGTATGAAAAATCTGTTTTATTAAATCTCCTACTTGTTGTTTACTAGTAAGCGCTCTCAGCTTTCTTAGGAGCCTAAGTGCATGCCAATAATTTAGTAATACCCAACTAAAATTTTGTTAAAAACTTTTCCAACACCCAAAATTTATTCGTTCTCAGTGAGGTACTGTGTACATAGGCCTTTGGTTTTTAAAAATTCTGAAATAGCAATTGATTATTCTACTCTCACGTACCTCTGAGTACTTTGTTGCATTACAATCGTTTTTAATATAAGCGCCAAAAACTATACTACTATATTCAATTAAAATTGTTTACGTTAGGCAAACCTCAATGTTGTATATCATATAACTCTGTAAAGAGTGCTTAGTTGTTTATATACTCAGCTTGCTTGCTTACACAAGGAAGTAAATATTAGTCTGGCCAACACTGCGCCTATGATTATGCTACAAATATGTATTTGCAGCTTATCAGTTGTGAGTATTTATAAACAGAAGGCAAACAATTTCCGATATGAGTGCAACAGTTGCGGACGCGAACAATAATTATTAGTTCGGAAAGAAAAGTATTTTCAGTATAAAAGATAGGAAAATATTTGATAAAATAATATGCAAATTGTTGTTTTCTAAAAAAATATAGCTTGTAGATTTATATTTCTAAAGACATAGGTCACCGAATAAAACTGATTTTGAATGCGTAGATGGCAATATAAAAATAGGATTATCTTTAGAATTTAAAAAAAAAAAAAGTATTTTTCAAAAAAGGTCTATCCCCAGACTTGATTAGGAGTTAAACCAAACGCGATTTTTAATGAAAGTATATACAAGTTTTCTCGAAAATAAAGCTATTGAGCTCAGAGAATCAGAGTTTGAAAAATGTAATTTAGATTTGAAGAAACAAATGCATATATTAAAAAAATTAAATGCTCGAATATCGATTTTGAAAGCATTGAGAAAAAATAAGATACGTATTTGCATCGTATTGGAATTAAAAAAAAAAATATTCAGAAATCAAGAGGTATTTTAACCAAACGTAATTTTTGATTTTCTTTAAATATTTTTGATTTTCTGAAACTATTTTTTCTCGCTATTTTTTATTAAAATTTGTAAATTGTAAATATTTTAATTAAAACTTTAATTTTCTTCTTATTTTCGCACCTTGTTTATGACTATAATCCTATTTGAAAATTATTTAAATAATTTTGAAACTGACAAACTGGCGTTCAAAAGTTGCGGCGCGATTTAATACTTGTATTTAAAAAAATAATTCCAAAAATTTCGAAAAACTCAAAATCCAAGCTTCTTATAATCACGCGTAAAAAAATTCAAAAAATATTAAAAAAATACTCTTTGAGAAATCAATCACCAGCTGCCTGCGCGTAGCGCAACCAACTTCGCCCTGGCAGCATGCCCTCATCTGCGCCTTGTCTAGCAAACTACCAAAAAAAAGCTCTCAATAGCTTTGTCGCTCACGCTCACACTATTACAAGCAGTCACTAACACTCACACAATGCAAAATGCTGAAAAATATATAGCAATATAATACGAGCAAAAAAATACAAAAACAAATTCATACTTTCATTGACTAAATAAATATTTATGCCGCATATTAATCCAGTTAACGCTGTGTTACGTGTCGATTTGTTTACACAATTACGCAGTCATTCATGCAATTGATTTACTCATCCATTGCAAAACGATCATTACAGTCGATACGCTTAGTCGGTGTATACTAGACACATTTATGCAATATTTCCACTTATTTGCAGAAAAAATATTTAATTTCATAGAATTAATACACATACAACCCGAAATATCTTAACTCATTAAACCGTTCATTCAAACATTGCCTCATCTCATATATGCCTTTACATGTCCGTTTTCGTTTCATATATACATACATGTGCGTATGCGTGTGTGTTCGTGTTTAGTGGTTTGTGTTTCCATTTCATTGACGCCAAATTATTTGCGGTTTCATGTAAAATCTCACACTAAGTAGTCTCAATACTTGTGGTACATACTTTAGTGTACATTGTAGCTGTAGTTTCATCCAAAAAGTGTTGTTGTAAAAATAGTTGTTTTTTGTTGTATTTTATTAATTATAACACACACCGTATAAATTTGCTTATCATTCACAATTATTTGTAGCTAATTTTTTAGTGGTGTACATTTAATTTGTAATTTTTAATAATTATTTTTGCATGACAAATTAAAATTGTTCTGATTTTTTGATATAAAATTTTTGCTGACATAATATTAGTTATAATATTTCCACATCAATTGGTGTAATACAAAATTATCATTATTAATAGCGAATAAATTTTACTCATTAATAGTTTTGCATATTTTTAGGCGCATTATAAAGCACCGTTGCTGACGTTGTGTTCACAATCAGTCACATTTTTATGTAATGGCGCTAAAGTAATGCACTCAATTAAAACAAGCCTAATTGCTTCTAATAAAAGTAATTAAGCCTAAAAGTATGCAATAAAATTTCAATAATCAGCTGTTAAGTGTTTAGTTGTAGTATTATGTTTACAACGCTTATAATTTGCAGCGGAAAGGTAAGTGGTTCATAGTTTTATACGTCTATTGCCTGTAATCCATATATATATATATATATATTTACATTTGTATACATATATATAATACCTAAGATGATTAGCTGATTTTCAGAGTGTTTAATTAGTTTTATACAAATACGTTATTCCGTATATAACCATAAAATAAATAATAGCGCCTAAAGCTATGCCACACTTTCGCAATACTGCTTCATTCTCCGAAGAACATTTCACAATCTCTCTTTACATTCTTACTTTTTTGCGATGAAATTTAGCTTAAGGGGTCATATTCACTTGTAAGGCAGCAAACTTCTTTTTCTATAAACTTTTTTTTGAAGATGCACTTTTTTTATATTTTATTTACAAAATTTTATGTACTTTAATATTAAGCGATTCATTTTGAAACATTTTGGAATCCCTTGATTCCATAGCCAATATCCAATAAAAAAACCCAAAAAAATTATTTTTACACTAGAAATTCAAAATTTTGATTTACCACAATTGGCGGATTTCCAAAAATAATTTTTTTTTTTGTGAAAAAATTAACACTGCAGTGTTTCTTAAAATGTCGGTTAACTTTCTAAGCTTTCGATCATTATCTGGCGAATATATCTAAATGCTCGTATTAAATTTTTTTTTTTTGAAATTTTCCTCATCGACTCTCAAAATAGCGTTTCGTGTTAATCGCGTATAAAATTTTGGGATCTAATAAATTTGGGAATAATAAACAAAAATAGGAAGCTCTTAGTTGCAGTTACTAAGTTAGTAATCTTATGAAAAAGAATCCAGATTCTTGAATAATTTGCCAAGTTGCCAAACTTCATATCTTCAACTTGGAATACATTTCTCGTTAAATCATTTTAAGACAAACTTTTTAAGCATATGGAAGAACTGATGGTACGAGGCTGTTGTTACTTTCGGCTCAATTCAATTTAGGACAGATCTCGCCACACCACAGTTTAAAAGTAGAAATCTCGAAGTTTAGATTTTAAAAAATTCTTTGTCAGTGCTCAGAACCCCTCTAGAGTGTTCGTTTAAAACTTTCTACTAATCACCTTCATGAGCAATTTCGGACTGGTGAAGAAGGTGGTATTAAATTTGTTTATATCAAATATTTTCAATAAATTTCACGAAAAACACATCAATATCTAGCCCCTAGACTTTCAATTCCTGAAGCTTTTACAACAATAATTTTTAACAACACTCTCCTTACTATTCTCCACTTAACTCTTACCCTTTCACAATTTCATTTTATTATTACCTGCAATTGTCAACTACTTGCCACCTTCACCTTTCGCCCTTGACTTCACTGACAGCCTTTGTTGTCGGCCGATCTATGTAAGTAATGCCATTTTTGAAACAAGATTTAATCGGATTGTCTGCAAATCAAAAGCATACTTATAGGCACACA